CTTCGACTGTAAAAGCAGAACTTTTCAATTCGACCGTGATACCACCTATGTTATATGGATGTGAGACGTGGAACACCTTGCTGAAGAGCGGAAGATGGCAGTGTCTCAACGGGCAATGGAACGGCGAATGGTTGGTGTGAATAGGCTTCAGAACATTTCCAACAAAGTGCTCAGAGCCAGATCTGGGGTACAGGATATAATCGAAGAAATGTACGCCAGAAAAAGAAGTTGGGCTGGTCATGTAGCAAGGATGTAAGACAACCGATGGACGAAGCGGATAATGCAGTGGTACCCACGCGCGATGAAACGAACACTGGGGAGGCCCCCAGCACGATGACGAGATCCAATCGTGTGCCTTTATGGTGTCACCTGGTCTCGTCAGGCTCAGGATCGATCGAAATGGAGAAGTTGCCAGCTGCATCGATGGCGTGACATCAGAGATCGATGAAACAACAGCTGTTTAAGGTGAAGAATATATGCCGTAATCGCTGTACTGACGAGGTCCAGTTGTAGCTCTGAGTTAAAATATATGTAGCTTAATGGGCGGAAACATCTTAAACTTAGCTTGAATCACATGTTATAATCTCTAATACTTCAGAATCAAATTTGCAAAAAGCTGTTGACTTTTTCTTGAATGTTCTTATTAATTAACACTTATAATTCTAAGTTCATTTATTAAACAATAAACACAAAGAAGCAGTAAATCTAAATTTAATCTATTTTTAAATACTTCTTACTTTAGAGCAGAAAAATTTTTCTGCCAAAATCTTACCAAATTTGGTGTCCGTTTTGAGTGATAAAATTTGTGAGCAAATACAAGCAGGATAAAAAGTGATTCCCAAAATGAAATGAAATATATTCATCATGGAATTAGAAAATATCGAGACATAAAGACATTCATACAAACGGCGTGAAGCGTGTGACCAGTACAGGATAAGGCCAAGTAATACGATTGCCAAGATATCTGTAGTTCATTAAATACTTTCTTAGAATACTCCAAATTTTTTGTTAGTTTATTTCTTCAGCTACGTAGCTAGTAAGTGTTTTAGTTGCTTTGACCAATGCCACATCGCCTGATAGTCAGCGTGCTGACGATTCTAACGTTCATTTTATTTCTTGAAGGGATTACCTACTCAAAGAATGGAGAGCTTTGGCCGTTTTGATTTATTTCCATCTCATTCCAAAATATTTGCGTTTTTGGAAAACAGTGAGATACCACAGCGATTAAGAGGACCTCCCGAGGGATAGATCGGAACAGGCTGGCGGAGCGTTTAACTTTCTGTCATATGCCAGTATCAATTTACCATTGAAACGAATGAACCAAATGCAAATGAGTAAGAAGAAGTAATACTTCATTTAACAAAAAAAGTTTTCTGATTGCACTGCTTTATTATCCATTGTTTGGTTTTTGAGAATTTTTAAATATTACCAGTATGGACAGTATCGTCGAGGGTTATAAAAATAATTGCAAGCGCGGATGAAATAGAAGCAATGGCATAAAATACCCAGAACAGCCTAAACTAGTTTAAAGTATACAAAACTTTAACAATACATATTTGGAAATATGAAGATCGATTGTAAAAGGCACATAAAAAAGCATTTACTTAGAATATACATTTATTTGTTTCGTAAACCAAGAACATCAATGTTATTACTGTCTTTTTCATAAACTTAGCGCACCTCTGTGAGGGCATCCGATTCTGAGAGGTATGCCTCCAGTTACTATCCATCGCCTGTTCGATGTATGTGCGTTACCTTTTCGAGGATCACCAGAGTGGTCGTATTGCTTGCTCGCAGGTATCACTTACATCAGTTGTTAACAAGGCGAGCAACATATCCTGCCCCCATCGGATTTCGCATTTTCATGTGGTTACAATGATATCTTGCACGTCGCTTACTCAGAGGAAATTCTGATTGCTTATATGGTCACGGAGACAACGCTTCCGATATATCACGGCATAATCCATAGATGGATTCGGATTTTGGTGTATAAATTTAGAATCGTTTATAACTGTGCTATCGTATCATTATACTATAAGCGTTTGTTTTACTAAATTTGTAAAGAACGTATCCATCGCAGCAACTCGCAGTATTTTATTTTTAAAATTCACGGAAACCTGTTGTGAACGGAACTTCTTTTCGGAAATGGTTATGAACCGGGAAAGAATCGAACTACTCACTACATCTATGCATCACGAGCTATCCATTACACAACCGGCCCTTGTGCTACAGGATCAACTGGCAGCATACCTACTATGTGTCTGCCTTTCGAAGCTGGAACATACTTTCCCATTTCGCTGTTTTCCGCAAGCATTATGCATCTTTTCCTTCGTATCGGCTTTTTCTTTGCCAGCTTTTCGCGCGTTTTCAGCGACAAAAACAACTCGTAACAGAGTCTTAACGTTATTTATCAAAGGTGAAAACCGGTTATTTCAATTTGAAGTAGAAAAAAACCTCTTTGGGACTTCGATCGCTCGGATCCAATTGTTAAAATTATATCCTGATCTAAATTTTCCAAAGCAAATGATACCAGCGATCGTTTCTGTAAAATGTTTAGCGGAAACTGCAGCAGACGAACGACGTGAATGGACGTTTTTTGAAAGATTTTGTGCAGTTGATAATTGATTCAGGAGACGAAATGAACGTCACTAGGCAATTTGCAGCATTTTTCAAAACACTTGGAAAAAAGCCTTCAGCTGCACAGCTAGAGAACCGGATTATGAATTAACAGTTTTTTCGCGGTCATATATCGTTCAAATCGGTTATGTGGTTTAAAGGAGCAAACAGTATATGAACGGTCAGACAAAATGTGATCTGAAAATATTCTGAAATCAAAATCATACTTCTGAACAAAGCAAAAAGGTAATTTGACTTCCCGCAAAACTGAGGAAATGGGCTAAATTTTTTTTCAAAAAACCGGAGCTGTTACCTGATTTTTCGTCCAGTAGAGCCAAGACTCCAAGCACAAAAACTATGACTATGGCAAGTACCCAGAAGATGATGACAAACAAGTACAGATCGAGCGACATCTCAAAAAAACTGAAAACACATTTCACAGTAAAATCGTATCTGCACCGAGAAAGCCCAGATAAACGAGTTTGAAAACCAAGAAAATTAGAAAAACCGATATTTCGAGAACACTAATAAAACACAGAGAAAGATCTGCTTAATTTGCATGCGACAGAAAAACCTGCTTAAATAGCTAAATTGAATTATGTCGATAAGAGAAGGCCGATATAAGGAAAATTGGAGAAGTGGCAGGTGCATCAGTGGCGGGATGAAGAGCAATAACTGATTGAAGTACCGAAATAATATAGCTTCGATCAATTAATGGGTCATAAAAGTGGTAATAACCTACATCTTCGTAACCTGTGGGAATTGATCTGTAGGTATCTCCGTGTTCTAGGACCCTTTGGCTATTGGAAATTCAGGATTGCAGCATAATCCACAAGATTTCTTTGTATTTAAGACCTCGCACTCCGCTCTGACTAAGGTTTAAAATTCAGCTAACTTTAAACGCTAATGGAGTTACGAACTCGAAACCTGATATCGCCAGATTTTTAGCTCAAGCCTAAATTTGAGATAATGCTACTAGTGTATCTGAACTTCACAGTTTCCCTGCTCCAATCGCTTCGCGGTGCGAAAAATTCTGACGATTTTTTTTTTCAGTTTTAACGCAAATTTTTATGGATTTATCTCAAAATTTTGCCCAAAACTTGAATTTTAGATAAAAATTGGCCAGGCTTGTGCCTTATTGCAATTAGATGGATGGAGGAGCAGGCGCCTATGAATAGACTTACCTAAAAATCTACGTGATTTAGTAACTCTATCAATCCAATAGGTCGCAAAAATGCGTAATCTCAGCGAACTCTTGGTATGAATTGCTGTAAAATCAATTCAGCTAAAAGCCATTTAAGAGAAAATTACCAATATTTATTGACATTTGCAAGAACAACAACAAGGCATTTCTAGCCTTTTAACTGCAACATCAAGAACAAAACAAGAATCACGGGATAAGTAATATGACTCGAAAGCTTCCAGAATATACACAAAATAAACATTTATACAACGAAAGAATAAATGTCAAAAAAATGAGATTTCCTCCGTGTTTGCTTTGCCGGTACATACCAAAAATTTAGCCCGGATGGTAGCACTTGTCATAAATAACTAGTTACTAGCAAGGCTATCGATAAAATCGTTCCAAAAAAAAAAAAAACTGCACAGACTACTCAGTTCAAATAGGTAGAAAATATAAAATTTAAAAAGTGTGTTACTTCTGGTACCGCGTATGACAGTGTGGATGGATTGAAGAAACCGATCAGGACGCTAGACTGAAACAAGGACAAAAGACAGCTTATTGCACGAAACACTGACACCGAACAGAATGGGTAATTGACGAATTACCACTACTAATTTGAATAGATCGGTTGATGAAAGGTACTCAAACGGTGAACGTGAACAAATGATACGTGTTGACCACGAATCGTCGGATCGCCCGTCTTATATATACTGATGTTTCTAATAGATATCGCACACCATAATCTCCGAAACGACCTTCTTCTAGGATTTCAGAATGGGTGACATGCGAAACAGGGATAGATTTTACCGCCGTAGTTTCAATCTGCGATGAGGAAGTTGGCAGGGAAATATTGGCTTGGCAACGGAGAGTCGGGTCCTTGTCGGAGATTCGATCTCCCTTGGAAGCGTCGCTTCCCGACGTTCAGCTGGAATGTCCTCGAAAGATGGCTCAGCTTTTTATTTTTTTGTTTTATAATTCCGATTGCGGGGAGGGGAGGCAAAGGCTTTGTCTTCACATAAACAAGAAAATGCAAAACTACTCGAATAAGCTCGAAAGTAGGTTTACATTCTCGAAGAGGAAAAGGGGAGAGCAGAAACTACTGCTTCGGATGTGAATGCGTTTTCCTAGCATTTAATTCTCTACAACAATTTTTTTGAGGTAAAATTCGCTTTTATTCGAAAAGGCAGTATTTTCGACGAACTCAATCTTCCACATTTCCATAATCGATGCCCTTTTTTTTCAGGAATTCCGTATATTTTTCACGAATCAATTTGAATGCACCAGGTGTTGCATACGGTAAATCGGTCAGCGGATCCTTGTATTTTGCAGGGCGTGAAGTTACGGAGCACAGAAGCTTTATCTGTAAAAAAAACAAAATTAAATATTTGGCCTAACAATCGATAAGGTACTTCAACATGGATTAGGATACAGCAAATAGGATAAGATGATATTGCTCAACTGAAAACAAGGACGCTCCCAACCGGATAAAGCTTTGCCAAGAGGTTTTTTCGAAAAAAAAAAAAACGCTGAGCTGGTAATCCCCTCAGGAAAAGAAGTGGACGTCAGGATTTTTGCTGCTTTATCCAATTTTACATCGTCTGGTGGTCAGCCCGCAGAACACCTTAAGGTTCGCTTTATCGCTTTAAGAAACAACCGGCTCAGTAGTTCTACGGACTATTGCGACCCTAATAGTAGATTATTGGACTAGTGTCTGCCCCGTTTGCAGGTGTATGTGTGTGTAACACGTCACGTCCTATATACATGTTTATTATACATAGTAACGTAAAAGGATAAGGCATAAAACGTAGGTGAGGCTCTGGAGAGCCGAAGCTCCCCAGATTAGGAATATTAGTATACAGCAGTAAGTCGCAGCTGAAGATCGGTAGTGGAGATCTCGGCGATGGGGAGGAGTGCTTTTATACCCCAGGGGACAAAATCAAAAGTTCAATGAGAGTAGGGTAATCAAAGTTTGAACCAGGGACAGGGGTACTACGTCACAGTAACGCAGTTGGTCTCTAATCTATTTTTAGCAAAAACCATTAATCATTACTTGATATATTAAGCGATAAGACAGAAGTATTTCTCAAGGCTCTAGCTGTTTTAAGATGCTCTTGTTCTGTATTGAACGTCACCACTGGAACCTGGTTTCTGGATTTTGTCTCTCTCGGACTACGGTGAGGTGCATGCCCCAAGAAAACGTGCCACTAACGCGATATTGCGGTAAAAGAATATGAAATAATCGGCCAGCGCACCGGCCGTCGGTATGAAGATGTGTTTTTTGCACAGATTTTTTTTTTCAGAAGATGCTTCTAATTAAAAGAATTGAGACCGGCCATTACGATTGTGGGAGAACATTCCCTTAAAATTTCAGCTTTTTAGCTTTTCTGATTCCAAACTTAGCAACTTACTCACCGAAAATTTTCGTGAGCCCATACGTGGAACCGCATGGGCAAAAGTGTCCACTGTGGGAATAGGGGCCTTTACATGCATGTAGATTAAGTTCCCAAAGTTTCAGCTTTTTGCAATTTTTGTAGATGTTGAAATGAAAAATCGGTAGAGACGAACATACAGACACACAGACACAAACAATCCCTCGTCAATATCCGTTTTCTGCATTGCATAGATGCAAAAAAACATACAAAAACGAAAAAAAAAAGAGGAGAACTTACCACTCGTTCAGGTTTTTTGAATTCTTTGATATCTGGAACAACCATCCATTTGCCATTTGGGCCATCAACTATGCGAACATAGGGTGGTTGCACCTTCCGGATGACATTCGTTTTTTCATTCTTTTTTTTCTTTTCCAATTCAAATTGCTCATATTTTTTCAATGAGGCAGTGTTTTTTCGTTCTGTTTCTTTTGCTTCTTCCAAATATTGTGCCTGAAGCGATCCATGAAATATGTTTTAATAAAACAAGGAAAATACTTCACCTCATCGGAATTCCGTATTAAAGACAGCGCAGTTAAAAATATATAATCATTTAGCACCGAGAATACGGATATAAATTTAAAAAGTAGAATAAAAGATAGGGGATTAAGTACAAGCATTGGTGGATCCAATGGGAAAGTCGGAGAGGGTGAGGGGGAAGGGGAAGGCGGCGGGAAGGGGATAGGCTGGTAGGAGTTGTTTTACTGTAG